ATATATATATATATATATATATATATATATATATATATATATATATATATATATATATATATACATAGACACGCATTTAGTATTGCAGGAGGGAGAAAGAAAGCAAAAAATGCAACTTTTCGTGCGAAGGGGAACTCGTGCCCGGATCACGTCAAGAATTACAAACGTTGCGCGGGATTCCGAGGTACGTTTCAGTTTTGCTCCGCATACGAGAATATCTTGCGCGCGTTCCCGCTATCTTGTTTTCTCCGTATGCTGCATAGCCTCCGACGTACTCCAGTTGTTAGCTGTGTTCAGATATTGACTGAATTGTTCGTTTGAACCTCCAGCATAACTCACTGCTACGCGATGCGCGAGAGGCCAACCAGGTGCAAACAGTTTGCCTGCCTAGAGGAGGTGTATGTTTCTGACGATAATTAGTGTTCACAGAGAAATAAAAGGCTGACATAAGCACTGCAAGTTGAAAAAAACACCACGACCACCGTATAGGGTGGATTAGGCGCAGGGCGTAAAGTGTAAACTCTGACGTCCCCCAATATCTTTGCTGCTGTTTGCCCCTATGCTGCTTCGCTTCTGTTGTTTGAAACAGCAGCTAAAGGTTGGCAGTTCATGCAGGGGAGATTCACAGCCAGATGCCAATAACGGCTGCTTGTTTTGCAAGGCGCTGTGTACACTAGCTGAAGACGAAGCGGGGTAACTAGCTGATTAGCTGAAGGCAAGTTGAACCCTAGGCAGAGACAGCTGTCAGCATAGCAACCAAACCGGCTATTAGGAGCATAGAGGTCGTTGCTGCAGGGCCATTTCCAACAGAATTCTTCAGGTCGTCTTCCGTCATATCCTTTAATTGAGTGGTTCGTTCTATAAGTCCGTTGAAATACTCCTCACTGAAAAAAAAAGGAAACAGACGGGAACGCATAATCAGGGAGAACATGCGCAGCCTTGATATCTATTATCTGTAAAGCCCTCCTAAATTCCTCTCATTGAATGCATCTTCCGAGACCCAAAACTTACTCAAAGGGGGCCGAGTTCTTCACCGCTGCAGGTTTGAGTTGACAGAAAAGTACAGCATCATTTGTTAAAGTTTCTTGCTGTGTTCCTGCACCTCCGCTACCCTCTGCAAGTAATCCCGCGCCGGCTGAAGATACTACTTTGGTACACCTTCCAATGACGCACCCGATTGTAGTGCTGTTCGAGCCGAGGAGATATGCCAGGCTGGCTCCCTCATCTTTCTTCCATATATTTTGCCACTGTTCTTCGGTCTGGGGGTATGTTTGGCTTTTGAAAAAATGTCAGCAAAGCACAGCACAAGTGCAAGAATGAGAAATTGGTTGCAGAGAAGGCGAGACAGCTGCTTTCGTTGTCGCTTTTTGCTATTCAAGGGAAATATGTGAGATTTGTTTGAAGCGAAGGCGAATATGGCATTTACGTACTTGAAGACTGCCAATCCCGCGTCAAGGGCTTTCTGCAGTAGCTGGCGATAGTCGGGACTGGCTTTTGCCTCGGCCTCGTACGTGAAACTGTAATGGAAGTTCGCCTTCTATACGCCCAAATGATATAACAAAAGACGGGACATCTTGCTTACCTTGAATCTGTCTCAGTCAGCTGGTTGCACAGTTTGTGTCCGGATTTACAATGGGTTTAAAGCTGCTATCACCATAGCTCGAGTACCGGTAGCAAAAGCTCAAATTCTCTGGTCGTGTCGCCGTTTTTCTTACCAGTTCGGCAGTTATCAATGCAGTGCAATTCTCCGCAGTGGCAGTTCCTTCCCCTGCTACTTCTCCCTCCAAATTGGTGATAAGGGTGTCTTCCTTTGTAATTTCACTGATGTGAACTGGGAGTTTTCCGTTGCGGGCCAGTTTAGCAGCCAAGTAGGCATCTGCAACACACAAATATAAAAAGATGCAAGGGGGGGCAAAAATATCATCAATATGTAATCAATGAGCCTGCAGCGCCTAGAGGCCTGCTGTTGCTGAGTAGTTGCCGGCCGGACAGTAAGCAATATGAGCGGAAGCACGAAACAAATAAGAATGAAGATGGGAAATAAGTTCACCTTCGTCTACACCCACAACTTTAAATTTGTATTTTGGAGTCGTGTTCGCCTCGGCTTGCAGCCCACAGAGTGTGAGGCAAAGTGCTGCTGCTGCCGTGTAGATGGGAGCCATTGCGACAGATGGCGAGAGGAAAGTGTACGGAAAATGAGTTTTGGTTGTAAAAGGACTATAAAAATATATTTGGATTAAATACTCGATAAAGAGAAAGAAATGGGTGCTTTCGTCGACTGGTTCTTAAGTCTCAGTGACTGCGGCTCCGCCGGTCACTCAGCGGACGACAGAGGTTGCTTCTTCCCCTCAACAAGAAATCGCTCAAAGAAGACCGAAAACGCTAAAAAAAATTGAAACTAAAGACATTAATCTACAACTGATGTTATATGAGGAGGATTTTGATATAAGTTAGATAAATCCCTTGTTTTCCATACGCCGAAAGCTTCTTTCTTGTCGGAGACTGCGTGGGCTGCACTGGAGTCCGAGCGCCCAACCCCGAGTCACCAGCCGTTGAAACAATTTTGACGCAAAAGAAGAGTTTAACAGTTTTAATGGAGAAGTGACTGTAATTTATGCGGTTTGCCAAATGGATTTTCTGCAGGCTGTTCGCCTGAAGTCCAGTGGAAGTCCAGTGGTGCTGCATGTCCCACACATGGATGAACAAGGCGTAAGAACAAGCGCGAATTAATAGTAAGCCTTGGACACATCAATAAAAAGGTAGAGACAAGAAATAATCGAAGTACTCCTGGCGCAAGCGCATGCTGCAAGCTGCTGCGTGCATCGCATCGAATTCAGACTTGCTACGGTGGGTGCCATTAGATCTTTCACACTGGGAAACACCAGGCTGCCAATCCCTCCTCAACGCGCTGATTTTTCTAAGGCAGAATTTGCCTGGCGTGAAGAGGTCATTCTGTAGCGCCTTCTGCCTTCCCTTCGTCCCTTGCTGTCGCACTGTGCTTGCTTGTAGCATGCTTTTGTGTGTAGTGTACACGCGGACAGGCGCAGCCAGAGGCAGACAAAAGAAGCGACGTTCAAAGTTTGACTAATAGACTAAGGCAGACAGGGAGCGAATTTTTTGACCTGCGCAATCGTGCTTAGGGAATGCGTAAAGGCGTTTTTGTTCATCTATGCTTTGCACAACTCCTTCGCAGCTAATCACTGGCACGCAGCAGGCCGCCTCGCTGTGGGGCGTATATTTGGTTCCTTCCACATGCCTTGATGAACCAGAGATTATTAGCAAGTGTAACAAGAGCCATCCGTCTTATTCGAGGGCAGGCGTGAGCTGCAGTGGAGTCAAAATAGTCAAGTTAAGAAAAGGCCAATAATCTCGTCTTTTGTCGCAGTCCTAGACGCCTTGCAGGGAAGGCGATATATTATTGGTATCATCTACCGGCCTCTGGAGTAGATTTGGATAACTGGGAAGAGCTTAGAGGAGAAATGCTTACAAGATTCCGTGGGTGTATCGAGAGAACAGTTGATGATACGACTAGCCAATATACGGTAAAAGGGGTAATCCGGTAAGGCATGCTCTCGCATTTTCGTTGGAATTGAGTCAGGGTGAACCCCTAACACCAAACAATTCGATAGGAATACTCAAAGTCAGCTTACCTGATCAAGTTCCATTAGCTCTGACAGACAACGGTAAAAGAAACTCTGAGACCTGGCAAAATGCTGTTGAGGCGTTGAAGGAAGTTGGAGGAACTAGAGAGGGGGCACTAGACGAGACGGGACAATGCAGAATAGTGATACGACATACGCGACAGCGAAGATGAACATACCGTGATGAGAAGCAAGAATACGGAAAAAGGGCAATTCTCACAGCACGACGTGACCCGCGAGGTAGCGCTTCTTTCGAAGGTTTGCTTGTGCATGTAGTAGGCACTCAGGTAGGCACAGCGAGCGACGGAAGGGCGGAGCGGCGCTAAAATACTGACTACATGGCTAGGGTATACAGAAAGTCACCTGAGGACTTCTAGTTCAAGTACTTTTGCCAAGCGCCGAAGACGCTTGCGCAAGTGCAAGCAATGAACTCCACGCACCACAGCAAGGCACCACGTCATGCACCAGGCCATCTTGCTGTCCGGGGTGGGGTTAGTTGTTTGCATATGAACTGGGGAACCATACAGTGTTACCCAGTGACGCGATGATTCCCCATCTTATTCGAGGACAGTGGCGAGGCGCAATGGAACGAAAGTACTCGAGGAAACTGATCCGCAAAAGCAGTTGACATCCCCTTTAGCCCCCATGAATCCTACATACAGCGTTGACAAGTGAGATAAGGCAACATGACAGGAGTTGCGACGTACCCTGCTGCAGCTAGTGCAGAAATGTCAATCCACGTGCAAAGCACCCGAGCCCCCTTTCTTGCATGCAGATGCAGCAAGACTGTACACAGTGATTGAACACACATGTGGCCCTAAATATGCAGCGTGCAAGCAAGTAGCAGTACAGGCATTAGTACCAGCATCAGTGCAAATGTTTGTCTTCATATGTATGGGCAAATATGGGCTTGTGCTTAAACCTGGTGAAGCTTCTCCATATATATATATATATACATATATATATATATATATATATATATATATATATATATATTGATACTCATTTACTATTGCAAGAGGGAGAAGGAAAGCAACAAGTGCATCTTTTTGCACGAAGGGCAACTCGCATCCAGGTCACGTCAAGAAATGCAAAAGACTTGAGGGATGCCGACGTGAAATTGCATTTTTGCACCGCCTACAAAAATATCTTGCATGCGTTCCCGCTATCTTGTTTTTTCCTTATGTTGCATCGCCTCTGACGTGCTCCAGTTACTAACAGTCTTCATATATTTATCTGAATTGTTCGTTCCGGTCTCCAGCATAACTCACTGCTACGCAATGCATAAGAGGCCAACTACCTGCGAGCAATTCGGCTGCCCAGAGAAGAGGTATGTTTCGGAATATAGTTAGTGTTCCCGGCGAAATGCAAGACATGCGTCATACGTAAACGCTGCAAGTTAAAAAAAAAACACCACGACCACCGTTCGAAGTGGAGTAGACGCAGGGTGTAAAGTATACACTCTGACATCCCCCCATATCTCTGCTGCTTTTTGCCCCCATGCTGCTTCGCGTCTGTTGTTTGAAACAGCAGTTAAGGTTTGGCTGTTCATGCAGAAGGGCGAGCTTCGTAGCCAGAGGCCAATACCGGTGGCTTGGTTTGCAAGCTGCTGTGTACACTATCTGAAGAGGAAGCGGGATAACTTGCTGAGTAGCTAGAGGGATGTTGAACCCTAGGCAGAGACGGCTGTCAGCATAGCAACCAAACCAGCAATTAGAATCGTAGAGGCCGTTGCTGCAGGGCCATTTCCAACAGAATTCTTCAGGTCGTCTTCTGTCATATCTTTTAATTCGGTGGTTCGCTCTATAAGTCCGTTGAAATACTCCTCACTGAAAAAAAGGAAAACAGACAGGAACTCATCATCAGGGGGGTTATGCCCAGCTTTGGTATCTAATTTGCTTAAATCCCTGCTAAAGTCCCCACAATGAAGGCATCTTCCGAAGCCCGAAGCTTACTCAAAGGGGGCCGAGTTCTTTTCCGCTGCAGGTTTGAGTTGGCAGAACAATACAGCATCCTTTGTTAAAGTTTCTTGCTGTGTTCCTGAACCTCCGTCTCCAACTTGAAGCTCTACCGGGTTGTCTGAAGTTGTTACTTGTGTACACCTTCCAATGACACACCCGATTGTAGTGCTGTTAGACCCGAGAAGATATGCCAGGTTGGCTCCCGCGTCTTGCTTCCATATACTTTGCCACTCGTCATTGGTCTGGGGGTATGCTTTGTTTCTGGAAAAAATGTCAGCAAAGCGCAGCACTGGAGCAATAGTGAAAAATTGGCTGCAGATAAGTCGGCACGGCTCTTAGATGCACGTTTGGCATCAACGGTGTCGTGTTTTGTCATACAAGGAATAGCTATGAGATTTGTCTGGAGTGAATGTGAAAGCGGCTTTTACTTACTTGAAGACTGCCAATCCCTCGTCAAGGGCGTTCTGCAGTAATTGACGGTAGTCAGGACTGGCCTTTGCCTCGGTGTCGTACACAAAGCTGTGATGGAAGTCCTCCTTCTATGCGCCCAAACGATACGGCAAAAGACAGGACAATGTCTCGTCTCAGTCAGATGAATGGCTGCATAGTTTGTGTCGGGCTTTACAATCGGTCTAGAGCTGCTGTTGCAGCAGCGCAGGTACAGGTGTAAACAGCTCAAATTCTCTGGTCACTTCGCTGTATCGCTTACCAGTTTGTCGGTTATCAATGCAGTGCAATCCTCCGCAGTGGGCGGTTCATCGCCCGATACTTTTGCCTCCAGGGCAGAGACTAGGGACTCTTCCTTTGTGACTTCACTGATATGAACTGGGAGCTTTCCATTACGGGCCAAATTGGCAGCTAAGTAGGCGTCTGCAACGAACAGTCACGAAGAGATAATCAACAGCGGCTTGCAGTCATTCGCAACTGAGCTGTTGACGGTTTGAAAACGTACGAGAGGGGGGAGAATACAAGGAAAATGATAACGTATAAGGGGTTATACAATCACCTGCCTCCACGTGCTCGACCGTAAACTTGTGTTTTGGAGTGCTCGCCTCCGTTTGAAGCCCGCAGAGTGTGACGAGGCAAACAGCTGCAGCCGTTTTGTAAAGGGGAGCCATTGCGGTAGGAAGCGTGAGAGAGATTTTAAGGTTCCTCTTGAACGAAAAAGAAATAGATGTATTCAACCCGATAAATAAAGGAAGGAAAGCAGAGAAGACAGAGCTCTTTGGCCGGTCTCCGAGTCTCGTGAACAGTGAATGGGACACAGCCGGACAACGGTGTTGATAATGCAAACAAAGCTTGAAACGCAGTATAATTAGTGTGTAACTAAGGTGAAGAAACAATAATTTCCATGTAGGAGACTTGCGTGCTATGCTTTGACCTCTGTTCATGAAGGCTTCTGCGGTCCCCCGTAAGCGACCGGTGGAGTAGCAGAAGCCTAGTGCCCAGACCGCGACACCCGTTTTCGAAATATTCAAAGTGCTGTTGTAATGGAAGAAGTTAATCCATATTTATGAACACATTACTTTAATCGATGCATTTTTCAGCAGAGGGAAGGAGCCTCTTGCAAGGCGTGTGCGTTGAACCTGTCTGCTGATGGCCCACGTTGTAATGACCTCAGCGAGTCGACCGGTCTAGACCTATCACGGATTGGGAGACTATATGCAAAGGTTACACAGTGGCCGGAAATGTTTAGCCAAAACTCAGTTCGGGTCAAGCGTATTTCAACGTCTTTCGTGCTCAAAGAACTGTTTCTCCCGCTCGGACCCGCCCCCTGGCCTCTGCAAGGCCGCGAGGGCTGCCATCCACGGGGTGCGGCCGACTCTTGCCGCACTGTGTCGGCCTCTACTCCAGCCAGTTCTCGGCTGCGACCCTAGTGTGCCGAGTCTACTATTTAGGTTAGACTCATTTAACTCCCTTTTATAGTTTCCGGCATTCTTAGTTCGTCCTAGCTCCTCACTCCCTGTAATTACCTAGCGTTATAGGTTGCAGCTACTTGTAGTGCTAGCGCACTACACACGTTGTACCCCGTGATTTAGTATGCAATAATGCGCATGAGTTAATAATCCGCTTTGAACAGTTCCAGAAACAGCTGAAGATGAAGAATTATGGAAACGCTCCCAGTGCAAACGCGTGCCGTAATTTTGCGGCTTGCATCCCATCGAAAGCGCACGTGTGTCGTTTTCTTGTTTGTAAGCCTTCCGCCAATCTCTACTCAGCATCTAAGTTTTTATGAGGCGAAAGTCCTGTGCTGTGACGATGCCCTTCTGTAGCGTCTTATATCCGTCCTTCGTCCTCTTCCCCTGTGTGCTTCTCCGTAACATGTAAGTGTACATAGTAGACTCACACGCAAGTACAGCCAGCGGCAGCGTAACGATGCGGTACTCAAGGGCTGATCTGTAAACTAAGGCAGACAGAGACAGATTCTCTCCGCCTGCGTTAAATTGCCTAAGGAGAATCGAACGGTTCTTCATTGGTCCGTTTTTTTTTGGTAAAGCGCCCTGACTGTTAATGACTGGCACGCACCTGGATACCTTGGTGGAGGGGTGGAATTCTTCGCTGACGCCTGCCCCGATGGACCATGCGGCGCTACCAAGTGTTACGAAACTCCTCGATCATATCTGAGGATTGTCTGCAACTAGTGTAGGTTCGCTTGGATTTGTTTGCATGTGCGCCTCTCCAGACTTCTATTGCAGCATTTGTTTGCCTCCCCAAGTCTGATAATTTTCTGCACCACTCTAGACACCCATATTTCCCCTCTGTTTCTGGTTATTTTCTACCGAGAGGCAGACAAAGGCGATTTTCATAATGAAACCAACAGCAAGTCACAAGTCGCCGAGTGATTGTCATTTTAAAGCATAACTCAGCAATCGTTTGCGCCCCTCATGCGTCTCTGCTGTCGTACTTTTGGTCCTTATGTTGCATGCGATTTTCATAGAGTCCCCAGCATAACTCACTGCCACATGGGGTGGGGAGAGAACTACGTGCATACAGTTTGCCTGCCTATCGGAGACGCAAAGTCAGAAAGATAGCTCAGGACAAAGTAAACGACTGGGTTTATCGCTGCAAGTCGATTAAAGCGCCTCAACAGCCATACGACGTGAAATTGCGTCAGAATGCAAAATCTCACGTTCCGTGTTCTCCATGCTGCTTCGCGTTTGTTTGGAACAACAGTTAATGCGTGGCAGTTCATGCAACAAGTGAAGCTTCACAGCCTGAGGCAAACGACAGCTTCTTGGTTGGCAAAGGTCTGTGTAGACTAGCTGACGAGGGAGCGGGGTGGCTAACAGCTAGAGACGCCTTGCATCTTATGCAGAGATGGCTGTCAGCATGGCAACAAAACCGATAATTGAAATCGTAGGGATGGCAGCTCCTGCTCCATTTCCAACAGAAGCCTTCAGGTCGTCCTCTGTCATATCTGCTAGAGCACTTTTTCGTGCAATAAGTCCATTGAAATACTCCTCACTGCGAAAAAACGGAAACGAACAAACAGAAGCAGAACATAAAAACGCATACCCAGCTTCGGTGGATATGTGTCTAAATCTTTCTTACGCCACTCCTGGTAGTTGCACTCCGAAAACCAAAACTTACTCAAAGGCGGCCTGGTTAGCCGTTGCTGCCGGTTTCAGTTCACAGAAAAGCGCAGCCTTTGCTGTTGCAGTTCCAGTTTCGTCGTCTAGGGTGTCCTCTTCACCTGGTTCTTTGGCGCACTTTCCAATGATGCAGCCGATCTCAGTGCTGTTCGACGCGAGAAGGTATGCCAGATTGGCGCCCGCACCTTCCTGCCAGATCGTTTTCCACGCTGCTTCGTTCTTGGGGTATGTATTGCTTTTGGAAACACAGAATCAGTCAGCACAGCACAACGGATACGCAATGATTAGGAATTTACTGGGGATAAAGAGTTTGATACGGCATTGAAGATATCCCTTATATCATCAATTTTGCTTCGCTATGCACGACAAATCGGATGGAAGTTGCCTGCCGCCAACATGAATACAATGCCTCCTTACTTGAAGACTTGCAATCCTTTGTCAAGAGCATCCTGTACCAATTTACGGTAGTCAGGAGTGCCATTGTAGTCGAAAGAGTGATGAAACAGTGTACTCTGTACACCCAAAGGATAAAGGAGATGGCAACGCAGCTTCCTAATGTTGGGTCTGTCCCAGGCAACCTTTTGAATGGGTACCTAGTTTCTGTCTAGTCTCACAATGAAGTTTAGTTTTCGAAGCAGCGGATGATGCTGCAGGAGCAGCAACATTAGCAGGAGCATACAATCCCGCCTTTTGTACTTTGTATGCTCACAAGATCGGATTTTATCAGTGCCTCGCACGTCTCGTCAGTTCCTTTTGGGGTCTGTACTTTTTCCGTCAAGCTAGCGACGAGGCCTTCTTCCTTTGTGACCCCACTAATATGAACAGGGAGTTTTCCATTACGAGCCAGGTTGGCAGCCACGTAGGCGTCTGCGGCGGGAAACAGGAACAAAGAGACACGAGGGAATACAATAATGAGGCGGCTTGTGGTCCGCCGCAGCTGAGTAGTTGATACCTTGGCAGTAAACACGAAGGAGGAGGAGATGACGGGTGAGAAGAAGGGGGGGGACAACTCACCTTCATCTACATTCACTGCTGAAAATTTGTATGTTGCAGGAACCGGCTGCGCCTCCGATTGGAGTCCACTGAGTGCGGCGAGGCACACTGCTGCTGTAATGCACAGCGCCCGTTTCGCTGTCACTACGTATGAACCCTAAGCTATGCGGCTATGCGCGCACACTGCTACTAAGATCTAGACTCGCGATTCTCGCTATTTACCCCATAAAACCCATTAAATATTCAAAAGGTATTCGAGTTCTCCGATTTCTTCAAAGGGGAAAATCCTCAGAAGAATAGAACTGCCTTGACCCTCGGCGAGGGTCGGCATCTGAGTCACCGCACCGTCCTCACACCCAGCCCCATAGCGGGTGTGAGCTGGTGAGCACGGAGGCCTTATTATGCAGCTTTTCTACAATGAAGTGTCCTATTCCTAGATATATTCGCTGTAATTATTCCTTTTAGTGGTGTTAGGCCTCTAGAGCCTACACAGGAGATCCATTGTAGTGCCTGTGCACTACAGCTGCTGCCGTCTTGTAGAAGGAAGCCATTGTGGTAAAAGACGAAAGAGAACTTCAATATGTTATTCCTTTCAAAAAGGAGATGAAAGAAGTGCACACAAATTAAGGAGTTCAGGAAAGAAGTCAAGGAAGTCGCAGCTCGTTGGCCGGTCCTCGAGTTGTGAACAGCGAATTGATTAGAGCAAAACACGAGTGCCAAAAATGGGGGCAAAGCTTGAAGCTAAGTATAATTAATACTAAACGAAGGTAAGACAAGAACGATTTCGATCTAGAAGGGCTGTGTGTCATGTTTTTACCCCTGTTCTTGATGGCTCCTTCCGTCCCCCGGCGGAGAGAGACCGCTGGAGTTTAAACGGAGGCCCAGAGAGTAGAGCGCAACATCAGCCCCCTGAAATATACATTGTATTGCTACAATTGAAAGCAGTACTGAATATGTTGCTTTGATTGGTGCATTAGCCTAAGAGCGGAGGGAGCTCCTGCAGTTTTGTTTTACTGGAACTAGTATTTGTCTTCACGCCCCATACACGAATGAAGAGGCCGTGAAATAACGAGCATGACTGAATAATATGTCTTGAGCATGTCGGTAAAGAGTCGACAAAGAAAAATGACGAGAAGATTTAAGGTACAAATAAGCGCTGCAGCCTACAGCATGCATCGCATCGAAAATAGCGTGTGCCTGTGATGGTTTGCTCCAGTCGCCTCTTACATCTATCATCCGCATTTGCTTTTTTGTGTTTTGTATGTATCGGGCCTGTGCATGTTGTAGCCACAGCGGCAACAGCAGACACACACCTACAGCGGAGAGCAGCAGGGCGGCGTTCACAGCCAAACAAAGTGAAAGGCTAATTCACACAGACACTAAGCTCCTGCGCTGATTGGCCTAGGGACCATCTAACGAATCATAGTGCGTGTACCTTCTTGCAAAGCGCATTCGCTGGTAATCACTGGCATGCATCCGGCCGCCTTGCTTTGGTGGTTGGAGCTCTTTCCTCACGCATTGCATGATGAACTATGCGATGCTACCAAGAGT